TTTTTTGTGTGTGTGTGTGTGTGTGTGTGTGTGTGTGTGAAGTTGGTCACCTTTATTACAAATAACAGAAGTTAAGAAGAGGCCAGGGACCTCCCAATTCAACCCCGATGAACATACTGGGGTCATTACCCAGCTTCGGCAGAACTGGAAACCTGGTCCAGTGTCCTATTTTCTCACTCTGTTCTCTTTTTTATTTTTTTTATTTTTTCAAGCTGCATTTTTTTTTTTTTAATGGGAACAAGGCTCCAATGAGTCCAATCTATTCGTGGGAAGCTTCTCAAAAACATTCCCCTGAAGCGCAGTGAAAAGGTATGAGTAACTGTCCAGCAACCTAAAACGATTTCAAATGCATTTCCGAGCGTGAAGCACCAGAGCTGAGAAACCAGCTATCCCTATGGGATTGTAATCTTAAAGGTCTAAATTGACAGCACCCTTAACCTGTCACCAATTCAAAATCCATGTTCGAAAAATATGTACCAAGCCTATGGGGCATGGTGGTGCCCTGTAACCCTAGCATAGGGGGTTATGAGACGAGCCGCGTTTAGGTTCGAGGACTGATCACGGGGACTTTGTTTTTTCCCAATGGTTGCGTGGGAAGTCTGCTCGTCGGCGGTTTCGGTTCGGATTTTTTGCTTTCAATTTGTTGTATGTCACTCACGTCCTATCTCTTTTTCATGTCCTATCTCGTTAAAAAACAAAAAAAGGGATAACTGCTCCTGGGTCACACTTTAAGTTCAAAACGGCCAAAAAAACACTTAATGGTAACATCCTCGTCGTCCAAGTTCAAAACGGCAAAAAAAACACTTAATGGCAACATCCTTGTCGTCCAAGTTCAAATCGGCAAAATAAACATCACTTTTTTTTTTTTTTTTTTAACAAAACTTACAATTTTTTTTTTATATTATTTTTTTAAACATGGGATTGTCTTTTAATAGGGCCCAGTGCTCAAGGCCGAAAAATACAATGATATAAATTCCTGATTCAGGGGAAGTGAGGTCTTCAGCCTACTTCTTGAGGCGGAGCCCCTCCCCTGTGACAACTCAATGAAAAAAAAAGAAAATAAGAAAGAACCTACTCAGTAACAAACATCCACTGAAATTGTACCTATCACAGGAAAATGTACCTAAAATTAACAAACAGTCACAGAAAAATTTTATTTTGTAATGTGGGAGTAAAAAGATGATCTACTGTAGGAAAGGACCAAAATGGAAATCTCCAGTACAAGCATCAATGGATGCTAAGGAAGGATTACAGGCCCAATGACGGTGGAACCACTTGACCCCAGTACGCAAATTTCGTCTTTGGCCAATCTTCTTGCCCCAATCCAAGCAGATGATGTGCCGAAGGTCGGTCTTCACTCGGTGAAATACTTGCTGAACCGAAGGAGGCTCGCCATTTCTGACTACAGCATTTCGATGTTGCATCAGATGCCACAGCACTGTTGACCTGATGGTTTCATATACATATGCTTGTGGTTTTGTAAAATCCAATAACCCAGTACCCAGAAGAATGGCTTCCTTGGACCAAAGGTCCCCATGATGATGTGGGAGAAGAGCAGCATCTTTAAGTATTGTCCACACTTCTCTGGCGTATTTACATGTAACCCACAGATGCTGTTGATCTTCTACCAGATGTCCTGTGGAACAGACTGTGCAAAAAGGAGCACCTTTTTTTCGTCGACGATACAAGAAAGCCGCAGTGGGAGTGGCATTGTGCATAATCAGCCAAAGTAAACCAGCATGCTTTGCTACTGTTAGGGTGGGTAGTAGGCGCCAGAAGCCTGTAAGTTTGACTTGGGAGAGTTGGATCCCTAGTCGTCGCCATTTGGTCATGACATCCCAGTCAACATCAATGTCGGGCAGGAGTTTTGCGTAGGCCATACGGGCAGAATGTTGGTTGAGAGAAAGCATCTGATCATTTT